ACAGTTCATATGTCATTTCCACATCTCCCCTGATAGGTAAGAATTACTGCTGCTATTTTATTAATTGGAAAATTGGATTTGAGAGGTATTAAATTGCTTTCTGAGGTCATGGATACAGATAAGTGGTGAAATAGGATTTGATCCCAGACAAGGTGAATACAGAGCCCAAACTCCCTTCCTTACACTACACTACACTACACTGACACTACACTACACTACACTATACTACACTACACTACACTACAAATATATCTCCCAAATGACAATATGAGAATGGCCACAAACTTGAAATAGGTCACTGGTCAAAAACAACTGGGCTGAAATAAGGCTGAAATAATTCAGGACTCCTACATCAGCTTAAGGGACTCTCTTTCTTAAATCCATGGGCCACAGTAGGGGAAAGAGAGAACCTTGGAAGAGCTTTGAGAACTGGCACTTCAATGATACAGACATCAACCTCAGTGAGGACCGACCTGGCCCAGCTCAATGCTCAGAAAAGGTAAGACTCAGAAGGATCCAAGATCACTTCTTTCTATTCTTTTTCCGAGTAAAAACGAAGCCCAATGTCACAGAAAACAAGTAGTGAGGCCTTGTCTAAGTCTCTTTCTCACTACTGAAATTGTCTTTATTCACCACTGAACAAAAAGCAACTGGAACACAGGAGCTCACCATGGTTCAGACCTACAATCCAGCCCATCAAAGCCATCTTCAAAGACACAGGAAGAGAGCCATATGATGTTTACAGAGAACGTAAAGGATCTCCCCCATGGATGCCCTTTTTTCATGTTCAACTCCTCAACTCAAACATAATAGACCCATTCCTTTGGCCAGAGATCTTATGTCCCAAGGAGTCTCTTATAAAAGTGCATGTTTTTATAAAGGCCAGATCACTATCAAATATTAATGTGCCAATATGGGACCCATAAAGACAAGTCGGTTCTCAGGACAGAAAACTGGAGTAAAACAGAAGACTGCAGGTCCAGCGCAGTGCTTGCACAAGGCTGGAGTCTATGAATGTCCATTGGCTTGAACAGAATTTAATAATATTGCTTTCCAGTCCGAAAAATCCTACATTTTGTTGCCTTCAGCAAGTGCCCAAAGTGAAACCAGTTGCTTAGAGAAGAATAGGTTCCTAAGGGCAATAACAATAACACGCAAGTAAATAATTCTTACTAAAGAATGAGTCACTCACACCAAAAAGAATGTTCTAAGCATGAAGAAAAACAATCATTTATCAGTTCAGTCTTCAAGTTAATAGTAAATAAAATTTGGTTGCTTCTCACCATAACAGTTTATATATGAGCTAAGGACTGACCAAAGAGCACTGTAATGATGCTAAAATCAGATTTGAGTACTCTCCTCTCTATATATTCCCCAGGAAAAGGCCAAATTTCCAAACAGTGCTAATGTGACTGAAGATGTGCTCTTTTAGTATCTAAAGACAATTTGCTTTTTTAAAATAAACTTTCAAAATTTCAGAATAACTTTACATTTACTAAAGAAATGATGAAGATAGTTCAGAGTTTCTACATTACCACACCTAGTTCCCTTAACAACTAACATCTTCTAGCAGTATGTTACATTTTCCACCAATACTTATTTATTTTTTGTTTTTTGGTTTTGGTTTTGGTTTTTTTTTTCTGGTTCCGGGAATTGAACTCATGACCTTGCGCTTGCCAGGCAGGCGCTGTGCTGCTGAGCTAAATCCCCAGCCCCCTTATTTGTTTATTTTTTGAGGCAGGGTGTTGCTATGTAATTCAGGTTGGCCTTGAACTACTGTGTAGCCCAGGCTGGCCTTGAATTCAGCAATTCTCCTGCCTCAACCTCCCAAGTCCTATGACTGTAGGCATGAGTCACCAATATTCATACATTATTATTAACTGAAATCCACACTTTATTCTAATTTCCTTCATTTTTACCTAATGTCTTTTTTCTGTTCCAGAATTTCAAGCAGGACGCCACATGACATTTAGTCCTCTGGTGTCCTTAGGCAGTCTGACAGTTTCTCAGACTTTCCTTGCTCTTGATAACTTTGCCCATTTTGAGGAGTGCTGGTCAGGGACTGTGCCGAATGCCCCTCAGGGGAGACTTCCCTGACATTTTCTCATGATTCCACTGAGATTATGTTTGCACAAGGAAGACCAAAGAGGAAAAGTACACTTTCCATACCATCACATCAAGGGTACACACTGCCACTGTGGATGTTAACCTGAGCACCTGGCTACATGGTATTCGTCAGCTCTGTCCACTCTAGAGCCACTCTTTCTTCTTATATTGTTTTCTTTGGACAGCAGTCATCAGACATGGCCCCTGATTCAACAGGGGAGAGTGAGGCCCTGCTCAGTGAAAGTGCCACATCTATATAAATTTGCAGTTTTTCTACACAAGAGATTTATCTATTCTCCCTCATTACTTATTCAGTCATTTACTGGTAGTAGCATGGACTCAAGAATACTTATTCTCTACTTTAGGTTATACTACTTTATTATTTATTTTTTGCTCAATTTATTCCATTATTGACAACCGGGGCTATCTCAGTTTGCTGCTGCAGCCCTCTGACACCCTTCTACCTTCTCTATGCTTCAACACTATCGGATGCTCCAGGTCCCCTGATTCTAGAATCAGCTATTTCTCCAGAGTTTTAGTCTTTTTAGGAAAAGGGTATCAGAAACCAAGATCTGGACACGAAGTATTCTTTTCTTTTGCAATGTCAGTATTTCTAGGCCTGTTCCCAAAAAGTCCACCAATAACAACCACAAAGATTTTCAATTTCATAGATAATTGATTCTTTTTTAAATTTAGAGAGCAATACAGAACTTCTAGCTTTTAAATATTATTCAAGTAAAGACATCAGAAAATTATACTATAGTCTAACATCACTATCATTTTATGAAAACTAGCAAAGAGGAAGTATATAAAATTAAAATAAAGGGAAGTTACTAAGTAAGTCTTTTTTTTGAAAACTCACGCAGACTGGTTTTTCTTTTTTCTCTGGGCTCGTGAAGACTTAAGTTGGTACTTCAGTACCAATCGACGGATTAGCATTTCCCAGACCACTAGAAAGAAAACAACTCTCTGTGCTGAAATTAAGATAAATTTTGAAAATAATAGATGCAAGGGCTGAGGATACGGCTCAGTGGCACAGCACCTGTCTGGCAAGCGCAAGGTCCTGAGTTGGATTCCTGGTGCCAAAAAACAAATAAACAAAAAATAAAATAATAAACACATTGAGAGCAAACACAAATAAGTCTTGTAATTGGGGTCCAACTCCTCTGCCTTCCCACTAGTCTCTCTTTCCACATTCCTCCACTCCATCCCACTTTTGTGCACAGTATACTCAGACCACCACTACAAAGCATAGTGCCTAGAAGAAAAGAGAGATAGTTTACAACTCACAGTAATTGCAACCTGTTATGGTTTGTGGCTGGGTGTCCC